CCCGCGCTCCGGCCCGCCGCCTCGCTCCCCTGCGGACGGCGCCGCCAGGTTCCCCGCCCCGAGCGGCCCGTTACGCTCGCTTCGGTGTTGCCTCTCGCCAGCACCCGGCTCCCATACATTCGTCAACGATTTTGTCCCCGTGGCGCTGCTTTGACAATGGATCAGTACGCCCTCTCGCCCCCCAGGTCCACATTCTAAGGCTCGGGACAAATGTCGCGTACTTAAAAACGTATTTCTTGGCCACCATTACTTATGCAGACTCTGGACATCATCCTGTGGTTTTGGTAGCAGACGGAATTCAAGGAGGGCTGGAAGAAAAATATCCCCCGGGGATATACGCCCCTACATAGGAAAAATATTTAAAAGATAAGCAAGTACTCAAATTCCTTTAGGAAAGACAACTACTTACTACTTGCTAATACAGCAGAATAAAAGCTCTGGTAGTTGACATTTGGTAACATTAAACGTCTGTTCTTTTACTAAATTGATTCATTTCTTGGAGTGTGACTCAGGTAGCCCAAGTATTTCTTGCAAATTTTATTCTGATGCACCTAAATTGCTCAGATGAGGAGTGGCTAACTAGGTATTAATCAAAAGCCATGGAGAAACAAAAAGTTCTTTGGTGCCTTTTTTTTTTTCTTTTGGAAAAACTTCTTGCCATGGAGACTTGTTTTAAAGGTAAAATTAGCGCCTTTTTTTAAGAATAAATAACTTGGACACAAGGAAATACAAGAGAGAAAATACAAGTTCATGATGGGGCATGATTTGCCTGAAAGCAAAGATGATTTCTGAATTAAGCCAAAATGAAAACACGAAGTGCAGAAAGAGCGCAAGTCATGTGGGGACTTGCTCAGAAGCTGGGTAAGAGGGGCACTCTCTTGCCTGAATTCTGGTAATGGCTGCCTTCCCTGATGCGAAAGCCATGTTTGTATGGAGGCACTCATGAAGGTTAAGCCAAATTAGCAGAAAGTATGCAAAAAATATGCAAGTTAAAGTAGATTGAAGACTTGTATGCATAAAATGATCCCAAGGGATAAACTGAAACAGACTAAGACCGTTTCTGAGAACAGTTGCACAGAAGTTTAACGTGTTTTAACTTCTGCATTGAAAAATCTTTGCTTTTACTCATTGCTTTATTTTTTTTATACCATAGTGATTTGCAAAGAGATAGTTGAAGCAGCAATAGGGAAAGAATGAGATGTGTTACCAAGAAATAGGGAATTTTAATGAAGCCTGGTTATAAGAGCCCTGGAGAAGAGTGGGCTTGGGAAAAGCGAAGGTTACGCTTGTTCCTTTGAGGAACCTCCAAATTAGTGATCCAGATATTGTACTTTCACAAGGGTACTGCACTTTTCAAAGCAAATCAAACCTCAGACAAACTGGATTACATTTTTTCCCACTCTTAAAAAAAGGCAGGGTGAGGTTCTTTCTGTATAGGGATGTGCAAAAAATGCATCCGTAACAGCAAGTAACCAGAGTCTTCAACAACTCTGGCTGGCTGGTGTGAAAACTGAGAGTGGGCTGAGTCTATAGATGACTGACAGAGGTGATAAAATAAATGACACTTTGACCTATTTTTAATGTGGTCTTATTTGCAACATTTACTGGGATTGATGTTTATATTAATAATACATTTTCATCTGCCTGTTCTATCATTTCCTTAAAATAATTCAATATCTTATTTCCTAACTGTTCTACCCTTCATATTTTTGTTATTTAATCAAAAAGGGGCACTCTATTACGACTAAGTTGCACAGGTCTGCCTTATGTCTTTTTAGCGCTCTCTCTCAAGTCAGTTGTATTACAGTAGGAAAAAATTGCTATTGAAGTAATGATGTTCCAATTCAGTGAGAGATCACATTTGTCTGCATTTAGTCATATATACTAACTGCATTTCTCCTTCCATCCTCTCCCCACGAGTGGCTGTTCTAATGATTAAAATAGTCTATTAGTGATACTTACATTAGTGTATCAGTAGCAATTCAAGACATATAAACAAATGCCAGTCATTGCTTTTAATCTGTGACTGTTTGTCATTATAGTTTCTAATAATACAGTATACGTTCTTCAATGTCAGAGAGTGAAGATTATTCTAGAAAAGCCGGTAAGCTCAGACTGCAGAACTACAGAAGCAAACAAATCCACATGCCCTACCATGTATAATGTTTCAAGCTGCTTCATTTATGAAGTAAGACTCATTAAGTGGGCAATGTACGGTAGCTTTCTCTTTAATTACACAGTTTTATTATACAGTGGAATTATTTTTCAGAATGCAACTGTTTTCACAGACTGACCTTTTATTATAAGAGAAGTTTCTATCTAATGAAGAGAGGTAATTACAGCACAAAATAGACTTTTGACATATAGAAAGCTATTGTTACCAGGACTTTACTAGTGCAGAATGTTATTTAAAAGAGAACTTAATTTACATATTTTAAAAATTATAGAGTTGCGTGTAAGTAGCAGTGATGTTGAGAGACAAACTAAGAAAAGTGGAGCTTGCAACTATCCTCAAATTGCTCTGTAGTTCTCACAGTAGATTGCATAGTACGTGTTGCACCTGGCAGAAAAGGTTTATGATAGGGAAATGAATGTTTGGAGAGGAGTCACTTTCTGACCTTCTGTCCAGTGCTTTTTAGTTTTGTTCTTTTATTGTCTCTTCATTAGGGTGTGTGACACTTTCCACCCAGCACTGAGATCAGCCTTGACCTTTGCATGCCTAAATACGAGAGAGAATTTTGCTTGAAATCTGAAGCATAGTAATTGTGAGGGGCATTTGTTCTGACCACCACATGGAACAGCTCACTCAGCAGGATTTAAGTGTGATAAATGCCCTTGCCCCAGGTGGCTGATTTTTGCAGTAGAATTAAGCGTGGTGGTAGTTTGCAGTAGAGTTCACTAGTTATTCCAGCTCTGAATCCTTTCACTGTACTTTTTTAGCATTACTCTCTGACAGAGATGTCTTATTAAAATAAGAAACCTATAAGATTTGGAATATTTAAATTTTTTTCATTTACTTAAATAGGCTATTTGGGTATGCATTTTCCCACAATGAGAGCCTGAACTCCTTTAGGTTGATACCGGAGAAGAGCTTAATCATTCCATGCTAGGACAGGAGATTTACGGGAAGAAATAACTCTCTTTTTTTCCTCCCCCAACCCCCCCAATAGAAATGACAACTAACTCTGTTAGTCCTTTTATTTTCTTTTTGAAAACGTCAGAAGGAGCAGATTTTGTTTGCAGTGTGTTTACAAAGGAAAAATGTTGTGAAAGTTTGAGCAGATTTGGCATTGCAGAGTCCCAGTAGCTATCGTCAGAGCTCTCTTCAGGATCTCTGCCTTCTTAGGAGCTCACTTTCTCTAGGAGGAAAATGAAACGCTCTGATTGGCTATTCCTACAATGTGAATAGGAAACAGTCAAAGTAATAGTCAGGACACAGGTGGCAGGCAGTGCACATTCTCCCAAACAGTCATGGAAACGGTTTGTTAAATGCAAATACAACCTCATACAAATTGGAGGTTTTTCTTTGGCTATCCCACAAGCCAAAAATGTGGCTGAATTTAGTGACAGAATTATTTTTCTGTACCTCCTAGTATACACCCATGCATTTGTAGCGCAAAACTCGTTAAACTCTTTTCCAAGAGCAGTTCAGTTCATGTGTTTAAAATATACTGTCCATCAGAAAGCACGTCAAAGGAAACCACTTTGTTAAGAGATGAGGTACGCGCAATGCAACCCAATAAAGACAGTATCTGAAGCTTCTTAGAGTACTGCCTTCACTTCCTGCCTTTCTTACCATTCACACCTTTTCATGTATGGAGAGAAGCAGAGAAAAGTAAACCAAACCCTTTTATTAGCTGTTCCTAACTTGAGAAGCTTGTATTTGTAACCATTTGTGAGGCTGGGTCGTATCATGGTTTATATTCTTGCTCTTGTATCTTCACCTAGAGAAACAGGAAGGTAAGTGGGAAAAACACCCCAGTGCTGCTTCTGTGTATTTTGAATGTAAGTCCCAATAATACTTGTAGCCAAGCTATAAACCCACGCAAATGGGCTTCTTGAACTGCCCATATTGTGTTGCTGATGATTGTCCCGTTACCAGTTCTTAATGCAGTTTCTTTATGGATAAGATCATGCTTCATGATGTTGAGGGAAAAGAAGGCATTTTAGTTCTTAAAATGTTGTTATTATATGGCATTTTACTCTTCTAAATATTATTTTTCTTCAACTGAAGGTAGTATGGTTATTCTCAAGTATAAACATTGCCGGTTTTTCTTAAAGCCCTGAAAGACTTTGCATTTGGTAATTAAATGAACTGCTTGAGTTAGTATTGTACTTTTCAGCTTTTCACATTTAATTAACATTCAAGTGGGAACTATGAACAATTTATATCTGTCAGGAAAAGACAAGACGTAACAAATTGTCTCCGTGCAGATGTGAAATTGAGGCAACCTTAGAGAGACTAAAGAAACTGGAGCGTGATCTGAGCTTTAAAGAGCAGGAGCTAAAGGAACGGGAGCGACGTTTGAGGATGTGGGAGCAGAAGTTAACCGAACAGTCCAATACTCCTGTAAGTAGACAATAATTCAACCTTTCATCTTACTTCAGAAAGTATTTGGAGCTTTGTCTATGTAAATCTAAAGACACACCAAGGAAATAGAGCCCTTTTTCTTTAGCTGTTCCTTTGGGCCAATTAAAAACTGTTTTATTACATCACTGCAAATAACTATACTATTTTTTTTTAATTTCATCTAATACATTAGATATTAGATATTGCTGATAGTTCATATTGTGCCATGGGCACTTAAGTAGTTTCCCATTGATTAAATTACAGTTCTTAGCTTTAAAAGTTGATTGCATTCAATAAATTCATTTTTCAACTAGAAAGCTATTGACTTTAATGGATGCAGGATTTGGTCTTTTATGTAAGAATCATCTGTTTCTTGCAGAAGAAGTCTTGAGAAACGTATGTAGATTTTTTTTTTTTAATTCTGTTGTTTTTCTTTGAGAAGAAGCAAATTTCCATTCTGTGAAAAAGGGGGTCAAAATTTGAAGGTTAATTTAGGGCTTTGTTCATAATTACAGTTAACATACTTGTACTGGCCAGTTATTAGCTGTTAGGACTGCCATATTTCTGTTAATAAATTGAACAAAAAAACTTTCTTGGATTATCTTGAATTTCTTAACTAAATATGATGCTCTTGACTACTGATTGGCAGAGGGAGGACCACAGGGTTAGTGCATGGCTAGACATACTACAACAGAATTGTTGTTAGGAAAAATACTGCATTACCTACTTGTTTTTAAAGCACTAGCAAAACAAATACCAAATTGAGATTGCAGTAGCATATGTTTTCTTATGCACAATTTTATCCTACTTATAACCTTGATTCCAGCCAGACCCATTTATATACAACTTGTTTTTAAGGCATAGCTTATTGCTGTTGTTTGAATGAAGTTGCATTCATGTTCCAGCTGTGAACATGCAGTAATGAAATCATGAAGAATGAATGTTTTCCTATGTGCAGATACTGTATGTTCTCAGTAGATATCTATGCCTGCTTTAATGCTTGCAAAATTCCAGTAACTGAGCTGTGGGCCATCATCTATCCTGAGCACAGCATGAGACAGAGCCTTAATGAGCAAATCTTTTCACGAGCAAGGCCCTAGGGTTTTTTATGCTGTACTTGCTTATGACTTCTACTTTTCACTTAGAGCTGGCATTGCTGAAAGAATAAAGCATTGTGCTAAGGCCTATTGTGCTAAGCATGAACTATCTTTCTGCATAACATTAACCCAACTCTCCTATTGCATTTAAATGCAATTTCTTCTAATAGAGAAATATAGGTTTGTTTTTTCTGTAGATCTTTAGTGAGCTGTTACACAGAATGGCTTTAAAAAAAGCCCTTTTGTTGGAAAAAAAAATTGACATACTGGAAAAAATTGGCTTGTTCAAGCAGGATTGGTCTTTTCATAGCAAATGAAGTTCTACAAGGCACTGGTTACAAATACAGCTATATTTTAGATTCATAGCTGTAAATAATTTGCAAAATATCCCTGGGCATTCTGTTTGCAAGCTGTAATCCTTGGAGCCAAGTGTCTCCCTCCCTCTCTTGGGTCAGGGTATGTCTGCTCAGCAGTATCAAACTGGAGGATTGCAACAAGGAGGTGCATTGCTCAATTTTAAGCTACCTTGGCTGTAAAAACAATAGTAAAGATAGAGCAACCAGAGCTAATAACACAGCTTAGGGTGCCCACTAGGCTTATACCTGGTTCTTAACCAACACTAGGCCTTGTTGTGTCTTATCTGGTACTATCATCCCTGCTTTACGCTCTGCAGTCACTTCTTTGTTTTGCTCTGCAGCAAAGACCAGAGGCCAGCAAATACTATTGAAGTGGTGTGCAGGAGGAGAAACTCAAAGCAAGTGAGAGGAGAACAGGGAAGCTGTCTCTGCCACTTGATTCTCCAGTATTTTAGGGTTGGTAGACACTTCATCCTGCATGGTAGGTAGCTATGAGTGGCAGGCTGTTCCTAGTCAAAAGAATAAAGTATAGCTTTATACACATGAGCATGTGATTCCCAGGCTGCCCAGGGAAGTGGTTGAGTCACCATCCCTGGAGGTATTCAAAAAGCGAGTAGGCGGGGTACTCCAGAACATGGTTTAGTGGGCATGGATGATGGTTGGACTCAATGACCTTGAAGGTCTTTTCCAACCTAAATGATTCTATGAGAGAAGGATGAGGCCAATCTTTTAAGAACACTTCTGTGAAAGCAGTGTTTCTCCCTGCTCTTGTTTTGACCCTGTTTCTGCTGTGTCTTATGCAACAGACACCTTTGAGTCTGACCTCTGCCAATTCCCATTGTGCAGATCTCCCAGAGCCTCTTGCACAAGGGAATCTGGAGCCTTTTGGAGGAGTAAAATATATCCATAGCTGTAGTGAAATGGGAGACTTCTTCTGAAAGAGGACCTCGCTTTAAGAAGGGAGTGTATGTAGCTAAGCTGAAGCTCATATTTAGAGGAAGACAGTGAGCAAGACATGAAATCCAGATATTCACCTGTGGTGCTGTGCACCTGCAGGTGGTCATTTAAGAAGAACAGTGGCTTGTACAGAGACTGGGGATCCCAGCCATCTATAAAAGTGTCTTCATGATAGTTACCATATGCAGTGCGACACCAAAGGCAGGGCCTGTCGCAAAGAGCTCCTAAGTTCCCCAGGTAACAAGATGGCAAAATATGGAGGAAGTAAGGTGATCATAACTTGCAAAATGAGCCACAGTTATGGCCCATTCGCAGCTTACCCACTGCCAGGCACTGCATAAACACTGAAACGTGTTTTAGAGGAAAGCTGTTTTGCAGCTTTGTTGTTTTTTATAGGGAATTCTTCCCGTATGTCAGGGGATGCTTTTCCATGGATCTAAAGTGACTACAACTCCAATAGCTCATGGAAGAACTACCTGGCACTGAATAATGTGTGCTGGGTGTCTTGTTTCTGTGGCTAGATGTTGTTTTTAAAACATTCCTTCTCTATCAGTAGGAGCTTTTGGTGTCCTTGATCCAAGTAGCGCTCTGTTGATGGTGTAATTGGTTTTTTCCTGTACAGCCTAGCTGCAGGTTCTTTCGTCACTTAGCCATTAGATGCATGAAGAGTATTTAGGGCACCCCATCTCCCAACTTCTTAATTTTATTCTCATTTCTTAAGCCATGATCACTAACTTTTGTTAACCACAACACATATAGAAAGCCTATGTGAGTAGGGAAAACTTGAGAGGAACAAAAGACAGATATTGTCCTTTTTAATGATAGACAACTTGTCAATATAAATGGTTTTGCCAAGAAGTGGGCACTCTTTGAGCAGCCTGGCCGTGAAGCCTCCTGTGTTACAGACCAGGGCATCAGCATAATCACCCCTGTAACCCGTTGCGACCAACTGCCATTGACACTTCAGTCAGTTTGCTGATTAGGTTAAAAAATATGTGGAAAACTGTGAATTTTGGACAGGTAGTTTTGCAAACAGCTTTGGAAAGAAAGGCCAGTTCAGGTGTTCACACACAGCTCTTTTGCTGTTGCTTTAGTAGGTAGTTTAATTTGATATGAAACTCCTGAGTTTTTACTCCCTGTGGAGAACAGGCAAGCGTGTCACAGAGGTTCCTAGCCCGGCCACTCTGAAGAGGCATTAATCATTATTTAGCTTGAGAGGGCACATTTCATTTGTTATTACAAACAGACTGGGTCAGGAAAATGCTATTATTTGTAGGTGAAGATCAAATCAGTGGAGATTTAATATGGTGTACAACCAAATGGCAGATATCTATTGATATCACTAAAAAAAAAAAAAAAAAAAAAAAGCCAAGCTGAAGAAGCTGACCAGCTGACCAAACAGCCCCTCTTCCCCTGCCTGCCTCTCCCTGGGACAGCTGCCAGAAGCAAGGTGCTGGTACGGGCTGGAGGCCGATCCCCGTGTCCTTTGCATTGGTGAGAGGCTTGTTTCTGATTGTGGCCGTTGCAGGGTGACCCCTTCCTCTCCTTTTGAGTATATGCTCAAAACCAGTCTTTGCACAAATAATACTGCTGCTGTTATTTCTGGTATTTAGAGGGCCGCTACTTCTGCACCAAACTTTGGGAGCTTGTTTGGGTTCTCTGATCTTAACGTGATTTATTCTTCAATCCTGAAAGTTTCAATTAAGCAACTCACTCAGACTTCTGTTGTACCTGTGTTGCCTTGGGAGCCAGTCCCCCTGGCTGGGAAATGTCACGTTCTGGTTTACGCTGTCCAAAATGAAGGATTGAAGAGTTTGAACCTTCTTTTGTCATGAAAGCTCTGCTACCTGTGGTTCTTGCCATGCAACTCAGTGATTTTGCACTTCTGTTTAAGAACAATGACCCCAGAATGAAGCTGTCTGGTTTAATGAATTCTTACTTGATCTCTGTGTTTAGATTCACTAATCGTTGTGCTTTCTGTTGATTGCCAACTAATCTGGTGGTGTCTTTTTCCTTGATTTTTAAATTGGTTCTAACTTTCACTTTTGCTCTGTCCTTTCCTCCTTTAAATAGTTTTTCTTACCTCTTGCTGGAAGAATGTCTGAGGAGTCTTACTTTGAATCTAAAACAGAGGAGTCAAACAGTGCAGAGGTGTCATGTCAGATCACAGCAACAAGTAACGGGGAGGTAGCTGGCATGAACCAAAGTCTGAAGGCCTTGATGATGACGGGCTTTGGGGATATCTTCTCTCTGAACCAAGCAGGATCTGTCCTGCATTCTGGAATGCAGATAAACATGCAAGCCAAAAAGAATTCTTCTAAAACCACCTCTATGAGAAAAGGAAAGAAAATCAACGTGGCTTTGGGTTTCAGTGAATTCGACTGGTCAGATGACGATGATGATGATGATGATTATTTTGATGATAGCAGCGATAGCAGCGAATGAAATCAGTTATAGAATTAACCCTGAAATTGGTTTTAGCAAAGCAAAACAATAAAGTTTTAGAACAAGAATCCTGTCAGTTTGGTCTGTTTAAATCCTGTAAAAGAAAAAAAAAAAAAGAGACGTTTTTCAGGCTGAGCATGTTTGT